TGTATCTGAAGAAGTGTGCATGCACACGAAAGCTTATACCAAGAACTAACTCAGTTGGTCTTTAAGGTGCTACTGGAAGGATTTTTGTTTTGTTTTGACTATGGTAGACCAACACGGCTACCTATCTGTAACTAGAATAAGCTTGCCATAGTCAAAATATATGAAGAGATAAAACAGTGCAACGTGTATTAGTACTCCAAATGAAGATGGGGGATTTTATACCAGGATTGGGGTGTCCCAACATGTAGCCTACAAGGCCGTTTTTGGGAGTCCTAGGCAGGGCATCCTGTGTGGGTGAACTGGTAGCACTGCTCTAAATCTGGTGCTGCCCCCGACCCACCAGTGTCGGGAAGGAGCAAGCAGAGAGCTAGGTGAGAGCTGGCCCCAAGTCCCCAGAGTGCTGCTTCTGGTAAGTTGGAGGGCCTCCTCATTGCCTCCTGTTCACACAGGTCAATGACCTGGCTGGGGGCTAGAAAAGGGGGAATCAGTGGGCTGGCGAGGAATGACAATTTGGGGCGATCAGGCTAGGTAGATCTTGGCTGTGCAGAAAATAACTGTCTGGTGGGAAGAGCAAACATGGGCTCTTGTTTATAGATTAGCAAGGGGGGATTTTTTTTAGATACCCACCTCTAATGTCTCTCACACCCAAAGCACACACACATGTATCAATAAGGAAAGGGGTCCTTGGATTTGTGACTTTTTGCCTCTTCTCTTCACCCCCAGCAGGATGGACAGGGAGAGAGATAGTCGGGAGTGCAACTGCATGAGAGGGATGGAATGTGGTGGTAATTGTTTTGTGGTTACTTTGACTCCTGTTCCATATGCTCAGATCTTTCAGGGGTTGGATTCTCTCTCACACACGCTGATCCTGGATTCTCCCACATTTTTGTGTTTTGCATCTATCTATTGGTAAGGGAGTCACCCTGAGTATGCAAATTAAATTTATTTAATAAATGAATAAATATATTAAACCATTAAATTGTGTGTGGCATATATTAAATAGTATTAACTCTATTGTGAACACTTTAATTAATGACATGAAAATTTAATTCAGTGTGTGGTCTGTGGTTTCGGTATCAACTCTTGTGTCCCACTTGGTTTGAAAGGCTGGACTGCCCTGCTTTAGATCCTCAGTTGTGGGAGTCAAATGCAACCCCTTAGACTCCTCTACGTGGCTCTTGGGAGACTCCACAGGCTACAAATCTTCACCAGTCACACAATCTCCCCATGCCTGCTTCACACCTTCATGAATTGTTTTGCCTGACTGAAATGTGTCCTTGAGCTCTGTTAATGCCTCTCACTTGTCAGGATGGAGGATAGAGAGGGTAGTGTGAGTGTATAGAATCTAGCCTACTTTGCAAATGTAAAATTCACATTTATCCCTGCATCTAGTTTTATCTCTGGCACTGTCCAGCAGTGGTACCTGGTCCTGGTCCAGGATGTAATGTGGTCCTTGACTGAAGAAGGTTCCCAATCCCCTAGACATCCTCATCCTTTCAACACATAGTTGGGGAGTGGAGTTGCACTCCAGGACTGGCATCACATTTGCTGCATAGCCCCTCCTTTTGGCATCCATATGTACAGTGTGAAAATCAACACCTTCACCACTGTTGTGACTAGTAGAGGGGTCAGTCCTGGTTGGGGTTGGCAACATTGTCTTGGGTGGAAGGAGCAAAGGAGATACAAGTTCACTTTCCTTCACCCATGTATATAGATAAATAGGGTTTAAAACCCCTAATTAAACATTGGCCCCACGCTGAGCTTATTCTGGACTGGATCCAAGGCAGCACAGGGCAGTGGTTCCCAGGCAGACACAGAGCAAGTCATCCTGATGGCTCCCATATTGAAGCCATGAGGCAGATGGTATGGGGGGGGGGCGCTGTGGAGAGGGCTAATATATTTTGACAGTTCCTGCCACAAGCTGTACTGTGGTGGGTCACCTCTTTACAAAAGTATGCCGCTGGGACTGGGTGAGTGGCCATTTCTGATTCCACCCATTGCTGAAAGATTGCTCAGCAGGAGTCAATGGGGCAGCGTGGTAGGATGGGGAAATTAGAGGTCTGCTGAGGAATGCCTGCAAATGCATACAAACACAGGCAGAAATATTAGCAAACTGAAATTAGCTAATAGGTATGTGTCTTCTGGTTCGCCAGAAGCGACTTAGTCATGCTGGCCACATGACCCAGAAGCTGTACGCCGGCTCCCTCGGCCAATAAAGCGAGATGAGAGCCGCAACCCCATAGTCGGTCACGACTGGACCTAATGGTCAGGGGTCCCTTTACCTTTACCTTTATGTATCTTCTGTCCTCCATTTTTTCAAAAAAAATGTTGAACCAAATAACAAGTTGAATGCATTTCCTGAATGTCTCTATTGCTAGTCTCTGGTAAACTCCAGGGAGCAAATCTCTAGGAACACAAAACAGATATTAGTACAATCTCCTCCCCATGTTGAAGAGGTGATTACTGGCATCAAAGCCTGATGGATTTTCATATATTTTCATGAATGACTATCCAAATACAGTTAGCTGAAGTCAATAGAAGAGAAAGTGCTTTTGAAGGTAAGAGAAAAAAATTTAATTTATATAGTTAAAATATTACCTAACACCATAGGAGTTACGTAATTGATCTCACATATATATTCTCTAAAGTTTCTATTTAGGAAAATACTGCATTGAATCTGTCCACACACACCCTTCTTTCTGGACACTGGAATATTTTTGGTATTTTATTCTTCACGAAAAATGTGAAATCTTTTACTGAAAAAAAAATGTATTATACAATGCAGGACCACAATGAATAAAACAAAAGCTGTCTTCAAAATTCCAAACTAGATTTATATTCTCAGTGAATTTGGGGATTTTTTTTTTTGAGAAATTTAGTGGGGAACAGTGGGGAAGATGAAATTGGTTTCCTTAAGATTTCCAACATTTCTTAGTAGCATTCCATAGACCACTTGCTTGTTTGTGGATTTTGCAAGCATAAGCATTCAAAATAAATTCAAGGATTCTCCTCAGGCAAAATTTATCAGGAATGTAATAGGGAATCAAAATGTTTTTACACGGCTAGTGAAATTTCTGAGTATTAATTGGAGTTTATGCAACTTTTGTAACTACAGTATGGCTGTGTACATTAATTGCTTTTCTAGTGCTTTGATGCTAGGATGCTTATCATATGTAAAGCCTGAAAAATCATTAATTTTCAACGTATCTGGTTTCCATGGAACAGACCTTTCCCATTTTGGTTCTGTTGTAGTCTCATGCACAATTAGCTGGAACTTGGAACTTATCCACACTTACATTTTGCCCTACTCTTTTCAGGAACAAGCCAACACTTTAAAGCTCCATGTCCAAGCACTCTCTCTTTTGCCCCTGAGCTTTGCCCATGAAAATCTACTCTTTAAAGCTGAAGTGCAACAAATGGCAATTTGGCTTTTCCATGGATTGCTGTTTGCTCCTACTCAGCTTTACAGAGCAAGTTTACATGGAGAATACTCCTGAGCAAAAAATAAAAAAAAGAATGCTCAGAGCTTTAAAGTGCAGATTGTGCCTGGAAAGACTGGAGGAAAGTTAAGTGTGGATAAATCCTTACCTACAAAGTAAGCATACGTAGCTAACCACTGTATGTCATTCCGTTGCAAGAAACAGTTTCATCATGTTCAGAACTTGTATGCCTCATTTCCTCACTTTCCTTTGACTGTTTAACTGTCTCCATTGTTTGACCACAAATATGAAGTATTTTTTGCCAATGTAGCTTTCCTTCCCTCAGATATTCCCCCCCCCTCAGAAATGACTTGCTGTGGGGGATGGGAAGTGCTGATTTTCAACTGGGGGGAGATACAAATCATCCTTTGGTGTGCAAATAGAGGCTGTGTGGGGTTAACAGCATAAATCTAAGGGGTCTTAGAGGTTTCACCGTTTTGGGGGAGACAAATTGTCTTTGACTGTGTTCAGTTCTTGTTTTAGGCATGTTATGGAGATGATGATGATGTTGTTGGCGATGATAATTATACCCTGCCCACCTGGCTGGGTGGAGAGAACCAGTGGCAGTCAACCAGCAATTTGTCTACCTGAGTTAATGGAATTGGTCTCAGATTTGGAGTTGGAGACCTTCAGGATGATTGTGCTGGGGGAATTCAATACCCAGCAAAAGACTAGCTTGTTTGTGCTGGTTCAGGGCATCATGGCCACTATGGCAGCTATGGGGCTGTTCCAATATGTCATTACTACATCACATGCATCAGGACATATGGGAGGGCAACATCTTTTCCCTTATCATGGTCGTGTCTTTTCTTGTTGAGATTAAACAATTTAGTAGCTCTTCCCCTTGGATAGGGGGGGGGGAGGCTATTAAAATGTGCACCCCCCCAAGAGTAGTGATTTCTGGTGAATTTCTGAAGGCTTATGGGAACGATAGCTGCTCCTTCCAAAGCCATAGTTGATCTATGGAACCGAGAAATAACAAAGGCCTTTTCCAACGGGCAGAATTCTTGTAGCTCCTTGGTTTACATTTGAGCAGAGGTATAGGTAGGTAGTTGCAAGGTAGATCAAATGTAAGTGAAGAAAATCTCATTATGACCTTATTGGACACAAATGCCTCTGCTGGGAGCCATAATTAGGAAATTTTGTGCCATTAGTATGTGGATGACACTTGGGTTTATCACTTTGTTTCATCTAAAACAGGAGATGTGGTTCAGGCTCTATACTGCTTCTTGGAGACAATGATGGGCTGGATGTGGGCTAATAAATAGAAGCTGAATCTTGAAAACACAGAGGTGATATGTGCTCTGAGTTTGCAGAGTCTAGGAGATTGGGGAATGGCTTGTTCTGGAAGGAGGAGGTCTATAACTTGGACATGAAGGTTCAGTTAGCCTCAATGATTAGGCACACCTATTTCTAGCTCTGTTTTATTTGTCTCTTATACCACTTCTTAGACAGCATTGTATTATTACAATATTCTGTTGCAATTAAGAGATAGCACTTCTGATTCTTTTTACAGATAGCATGGATGTTAGCAAGGATCAAGCCATCACTAACCAAACTACTGTTTCAGAGTTTCTGCTTCTGGAATTCTCAAAAGTTCAGAAATTACAAAGTCTACACAGCATCCTGTTCCTGGTATTGTATTTGGCAACTGTCACAGGGAATCTTTTAATAATCTCTGCAGTAGCCTTTGACCACCACCTGCATACACCAATGTATATCTTCCTGATGAACCTGGCCATGCAGGACCTGGGCCAGGTTTCGGTCATTATCCCCCAATCCATGGCCAATTCCCTCATGAATACTACTCACATTTCTTATTCCGGATGTGTTGGTCAAGCCCTATTCTTCACCTTCTTCTTATCTACTGATTTTTTCCTCCTCATAGTCATGGCCTATGATCGGTATGTTGCTATCTGTAATCCACTGCAATACCAGGTGGTGATGAACAGGAGAGCCTGCACTGAAATGATCCTTACTGTATGGATCACTGGGTTTCTTTATGCAGGTTTGCACACTGTCAGCACTTTTGCAACTCCTTTCTGCTCCAATGTTGTCAATCAGTTTTTCTGTGAAATCCCACAGTTAGTAAAGCTTTCCTGTTCTAAGAAAAATCAGATTGAAACTGGAGTTCTCCTCTTGTTTTCTCTCATTGGCTTAGGCTGTTTTATATTTGTTCTTGTGACATATGTACAGATTTTTAGTGCGGTGTTAAGGATGACATCTGCACAGGGAAGACAAAAGGCCTTCTCTACCTGCCTTCCACATCTCATGGTATTCTCCACATTTATGGTCACAGGCTTGTTTTCCTATTTGAGTCCCATGACTAATACAGCAACACATTTAGACTTAATTTTTACAGTGATATATTCCATGGTCCCACCTTTGCTGAACCCACTGATTTACAGCATGAGAAACAAAGAGATCAAGGCTGCTTTGTCTAATTTGTTAAGACTAAGGACCACTTCCAATAATATATTATTTAGTTTTCTTCTCTGTGTGTGGATTTAAGTGGCACCCTGATTTTTCACATTGGTATCAATAGGACCAAAGTGAAACTAACATAATTTATCCAATCAAATTTCTCTAAATAATAATAATAATAATAATAATAATAATAATAATAATAATAATAATGCATGTCAACACTCTTCACTTCATCACAATTACAGATGGAGATTTAAAAAAAACATTTTTTACTGAGAAACTACCCAGGTCACACTTTTCAAACCAAAGTCTGGAATTAAATAAAGCTGTTGTTCAAAATGTGCATTTATTGTATTTTTTCCATGCAGTTCTCAAACTCTATTTCTCCCACTAAAAAAAAGTAACCATAGGGCAAAAGTTGGAGCATCACCACTGACACTTATTTTGAAGAACAGAACATGACACTTAGGGCCAAACTAGTTGTGATGCTAAATATGTATTAGGAATCAGTGTGTGTGTGTTTGTGTGTGTGTTTAATTAGTAGCATGGCAGATTTGAGGTCTGCTACATTTGGGGAGGGGAGTTTTAACTCCTTCCCCACCTACACATTCCTACCCATCCCCAGTGTTTCCCTTCCCCAAGTTGTTTTTGGCTTATAAAGTAACATTTTCATATATGCCAGTGGAAATATTCCTTCCAGGTCTAATGGCAAATTGGAGGGAGTGATTTTTATCAGGACCTTGACCTTTGATGAAAGACATTAACCCTCTCTTTCTGTGTGTTGCAGTCCTAATGAAAACCATTCCCTTCCACACCTGCAATTAACAGCTGCTTGGTTCAGTGCTTAGATAGAAGTTTGAAATAATTAACTCTATTCAGTCATGTGTTGAAATGATTATTTTAGTATTCTAATGCCTGTTATTATGCTTTTAAAAAATGTAAAGGTAAAGGACCCCTGACAGTAAAGTCCACTCGCGAACGACTCTGGGGTTGCAGTGCTCATCTTGCTTTACTGGCTGAGGGAGCCAACATTTGTGTGTAGACAGTTTTTCTGGGTCATGTGGCCAGCATGACTAAGCTGCTTCTGGAAAAACCAGAGCAATGCATGGAAACGGCATTTACCTTCCCGCTGGAGTTGTACCTATTTATCTATTTGCACTTTGGTGTGCTTTCAAACTGCTAGGTTGGCAGGAGCTGGGACCAAACAAAGAGAGCTCACCCCGTCATGGGGATTCGAACCACCAACCTTCGGTTTGGCAAGCCCTAGGCTCAGTGGTTTACACCACAGCGCCACCCGCGTCCCTTCATTATGCTTTGTAATATGTTTTTATTATTGATGCTCCATAACATGTGTTCTTAGTGCTATCCCTGGTCCTGAGATCTTTTGATAAAGGGTGTTATAAACAGTAATATAATAATAATGTGTTCAATTCACCAGCTAGAGTGCACACATTATCTCTGTAGAGACATTAGAGCATATCTGTATAAAAATTCTATGACCAACCACAGTTTAAGGGGAAAGCTTTGCTGTTGGTGAAATGTGCTGACAAATGCAATGGTGTGATGGACATCTGCAATTTGGTGAATGTTAACCTTCATTGACAATTCCAGCCATTTCAGGAGACAACATAAAATTTCAGAAATTTCTGCAACCTTGTAGGAAGTCACACTTCAACTAATTAAATAATTTATAAAGGTAATGTATCTTTATAAAATCTTGGTAAACAATGTAAACACACTTTGTGACATGCTTATTTCTTACATTAAGACTGTACTCTTATGGACAGTTACCTGGGACTATTAACCATTGAACTGAATGGGACTGACTTCAGAGTAGATGCATATCGTATTGTGACATAATACATTCCAAGAAGCACCACTCCAGGAAAACAACAAAATGCATCCTCACTGCAATCATTTATGAGTCAGTGTCAATACATATCATACAAAAAGCAAGATTCAATGAAAAATTTCATTATATAAACAGCTGATTAAGAAACAATAGGACTACAGAGCTGGATGGTTGCCTATGTTACAAATAAAACAGGAACCAAGAATATATATTAATTAAGAACAGTTACTGATAAAATAATGACTTGTTTCATCATGTATTATTTGTGTTAGCTGTGTGGAACACATTCATAAAAATAAAATGGACTGGATTGAAATATATGGTAGCACTGCAGTAAAACCACTGCCCCCATTTCAAATCCTAGTGTAGGACCACTGTCCCAACTCAATACATACCATAGTAGATACATTTTTTTTCTAAGGTTCTTGGTTGCTTCCATTATTTCGATTTCTTAGCTGCTCCCTGTGATTCAGCTCAGGCTTCAGCAAAATAATATAGCATTTGGGAGAGAAGATACAGCCTAGTAACCCAGCACTGGAAGCTAAAATAGAGAAGATCTCCACAGCCACCATGTATTTGCCTTTGGTGCTCAGGTACGTTGGTACAAATGACACCCAAACACTGCAGAACACTAGCATACTAAAAGTGATGAACTTGGATTCATTAAAACTATCTGGCAACTTCCTGGCTAGGAAAGCCACAGTGAAGCTTATAACAGACAGAAGTCCCATATAGCCCATGACAATGTAAAACATGTTGACATATCCTTCATTACATTTTATGATGATCTTCCCTGCTAGTGACTGCATGTCAACATCTGGAAAGGGGGGAGAGATTCCAAGCCACACTGCACAAACGACTCCTTGAACAAGGGAGCAGGAAAGAACAATTGAACCTGTCATTGTTTTTCCCACCCATTTCCTCATGCTGGATCCTGGCTTGGTGGCCTTGAAGGCCAAAACCACAATGATGGTTTTGGCCAACACAGAAGAAACAGCCACTGTGAAGATGATGCCAAAAGCTGATTGTTGTAGAAGACAGGTCACCTTCTTCGGTTTTCCGAGAAATAAGAAAGAACAGAGAAAGCAAAGCAGGAGAGAGATCAGAAGAGTATAGGTGACATCCCGGTTGTTGGCTTTGACTATGGGGGTCTCTTTGTGCTTAATAAAAGTTCCTAGCACCAAAACTGTGATCAGGGAAAGCATAGCTGAGAGTGAAGCTAAACTAATCCCTAATGGTTCTTCATATGACAGAAAGCTCACAGCTCTGGGAATGCATCGATCTTGGCCTTTGCTTGGGTGCTGATTTTCTGGGCATCTGAAACAATTGTCCATGTCTGGGGGGTAGAAAAATATTTTAGTGCCAACTCATGTAAGACCTTTGGGGAAAATATCATAATTACTTCTGAGGTGGATTTGCTGCTCACAGAGAGTTCTAGCTTTTCATTCCATGTACAGAATTGGTTATGTGAGAAGACATTTTAATATTAAACATAGAATCATAGAATTTTAGAGTTGAAAGGGACCCAAGGGTCATATAGTCCAACCCCCTGTAATGCAAAAATATTTTGCCCAATGTGGGGCTCAAACCCACAGTTTGAAGACTGGGGACTCATCTATACAGTTGCAGATAAAATGTTTTAAATGTGTTGTGAAGTGCAATATACACATGGGACACTAAATGGCGACAGTGAGCTATACTAAATTTAATTTATTTTTCAAAACTTTTTTTTAAAAAAAATATTTTCACAATGTTTTTTATATGTGTATATATTCTACCGAAGAGTCTTATGCTCTACCAACCTATATTCCAGAAAGCTTATGAATAACTGTAGTAATTATTATTATCATTCTTAGAAGTGATTGAATAATATTATTTTTATGCTAGTCCTTTATACTGATTAATGCACATTTAACCCTTTACTTTGTGTTTTAGCAAATCCCCAAGTGCATTTTTGTCTGTTTCATTTATTGAATGCTGCCTTGAGCAGGAATAGCAACTCTAAAATAAATAAATAAATTAGTCTGCAGCTAGGTTTTTTGCTATAGTTTTTAATTTTCTTTGCACACTCTTATTTAATTAATTTGAGTTATTACTGTTATTTTAATTGCTGCAATCCATTTTGAGATGGATTTATGGCAGGCTAAAAATATTCTACAATAAATAAATACATAGGGTGACAACACACACATAATTCTGCATGTATTCATTGTTGCAGGACATTCTAAGCAGGGTTTCTAAGGTATTTGTAGAATGCAGATAGAAGCAGGTGCAATGTTTGCCATTTATGGATTCTAAGCTGGAGACACTCATGACAATTTGGCTTGTTTTCATTATGTTGGAGTGATTTCTCTTTCTACACACATTGACAATATAGTCTATGACGGCAATACATGATTCTTGACTAATTGTCTGGGTTGGTCAGTTACAGTTAATCATGGAATTCTAGATTTCCCAATAATATTGTCAGATAAAGTCTGATTCACACATCAATGTACCACATGAATTCTCTTATCATTTGATGACCTACAGATAAATGTGTAAAATGCTTTCATTGACAAAGACTGCATTTGAAGCAAGTACTCAGATTGATGAACCAGTTTCGAGGCGGAGTAAACTTGTTGTAACACCTTGGAAAGATGGCACAAACTTAACACCCTCACCAAGTACTTACAACCATTCAATGGTCTGTTAGATAAATTGGTGGTATGTGCAGCAAATCTTGGTACCACTAACCCTTTTGGTTTGAAATCTCTCCACCTGGGCATGGAACACAATCATAGCAACAAAACTTCACCCCTTCTCTTTTCTTCTTCTGATAACCAGGGTGGCAGGAGTCACAACACAAAGAAATAGGCAGCACCTATCAGCAAAGCAAGGAATATAATGGAATCAATGAGAGGAAAATAATCACCTTTTTTAAAAAAACAAAATGAGTAAGCTGTTGACTTATATTGAACATTATTACATAGTACACTACTGAGCCCAATAGTTATGTTTCCAGAGAAGATAAATTACTTGTTTTAGTGCATTATTGTACAGAAACAGGCATGACTATAGATGCTAGAAAGACAAGATTTGGCCCTTAAATATGTTTTATTATACGTATCCACAGTCTTGCCAAATACAAGGCAATTATTGTGACTAGACTCAGGGATAAAGAGTTGAGACAAATGAAATGGGCTAAAATGGGGCTACATTTTATTACTAATATGAGAAGTGCATAACCTAA